GCTTCCTTGAGACAAACAAAACACTTTGTACAGGGCACAGTGTTGCTGTTTAGGACAAGCGAGCTACACTGAGGCAGAACATGGTAACGTTACACAGGTGCATGTGACAAGCTGGGCGTGTATCAATATGCAGCTATTGTAGTCGACATATGACCTTTGTAAATTACTCTATACTATAAACTATAGACTGTAATTCTCCGAGATTGGCACACGGTCAGGCTGACACAGGGGAAATGAGGAGTGTTGCTGGTAGGTGCCAAGTCAGTTTGCAACGTCACAGTTTGAAGGAGTGCTTTAAATTTCAAGTGTATTTAACAAAACAACTCTCTAGACATTGATGCTTGATTTGGCTTAGGTGATGTGTGCTGAACAACAGGTTTGGTGAATATGAATTATTATTTGCTACTGTTTATTATGACATTATACATTCCATGTTTACACTATTTCTCTAGATATGTGATAATAATTTTGCAACTAGCCTAGCCACAAAAATATACTGTGCATATGATTTTATCTTACATGTTGCCTGGCGATGTATATATACAATGCACAAAATGGAGATCATATGCACAGTTTCTTTTTGTGCTTGGTATATTTGGTTATGAAGACAGTTGACATGGATTTAAACTTTTTTATTTTTTCAATGTGATGTTTTAGTTCAGATGCTACCAAAACATCAGATTGAAAGATTAAAGTTCAAAGGTCAACACTGTTGTCATTGATATTACAGTTTCTATTATGCAAAATGGTTGACAACAATAATCTGGACTATAGACAGACTGATTTATGCTTTATGCAAAACTCCATGGCAAATAGGCAAATACATGTTTCTGAAACAAAGAGATAGTTATGTTAAGAGGACACTACTATCTATTCTGACTTGTAACAGAAGCTCTGATGGCATTATCTGTCACATGTAATCTCTGTTAGGAAAATAGTATGTAATTGTTTGATTGACAAGTTCCTGTCTCTGAGAGCAAAAGGTGTGAATATGTGATTTCATCACATTACATCAAAATGTAAATCTGTGCAGAGGGGCATATTTTAGCCCAGGACTGATATGTCACTGTCATTTCGTTTGACCTTCTGTGACTTTGAATTCAGAACATGAACCTGTAGTTATTTTGAAGTATTTCAGGGATAGTGAACGATGTTATGCTTTTGTTGCTCTGTGCTATTACATCTTGTGAGTTCACTCTGATAGAGATTTGATATTGTCTAAGGTAAAACTAATAATGTTATTACAGATGTTTTAATCATCTTTTTCAAACAGTATTTATTTCCACTTGGTACAGTGAAAATGGATTGATAAACAGGCAGAGCCAATATAAATATCTCTCCACGACAAAGTTTGAACAAGCAGCAGTAATATTTATGCTATACAGTAGTATAAACTTGATATTAAGTCACATGTGGTACGTCAAAGGTAATCAGTTGTTGGTGAGATGTATATTAGAGTGCATGTTAATCATTTTATCAGGGAGTAGCAAAAAGATGTCCCTCATAATGGCCATAGAGTTGTCCATTTTGCAACCTTGAAAGTTGTTTTTTCTCAGGAACGCTTTTATGCCCCAACTTCATATCATCCATACTCAAATATGTGATTATGTTTTTTAAACTGTATGCTACTTTGAAAGGTATGTTATTCCTATTTCAGTTTATACATAAATAGAACACACAAAAATCTGTATCTTCATCAAGTGAATGCAACAAATTGCTTCTTTTTTTCTTTTTTGGCTGATGCACATTAGAAATGGTCAGGACCAGGATTTAAAAAAGGGGGGTGTCCAAAAAAAAGGGGGTGGGGTGTCCACTTGGACCACATGTGACAGACCCGAGAAGGGCCAGGGTAGAATAGGTCTTCAGCAACCCATGCATGATGTAAAAGGCGACCATCCTTGTCGTAACAGACGGCTATGCTTGTCGTAATAGGCGACTAACGGGATCAGGTGGTCAGGCTCGCTGACTTGGTTTGATGCATGTCATCAATCCCAGTTGCAGGCTCGATTATTTACAGACCGCCGTCATATAGCTGGACTATTGCTGAGTGTGGTGTGAAACAACAAACAAACATACATGCCCCTTATCTTTCTTCTTTATCTCCCATTCCTCCAAGTAACCATGGTAACCTGCTCCATGTTTACATAACCATCATATTCTACAAAACAATAAACAACTTGGCTTGGCCTCCAAGTAGATAAGACCATGCAGAACGCTAAACATGGTAAACATTGCGTATTTCACAATGAATCTGTACCATCAATCAAGAACATTGATTTGAGTGGGGCTCCACTGACACCCATGGAGGAATGCAGGAGTTGTATAGTCCTCTGTGTAATCCCATGTAATTCACCTGCCCCCAGCTGGGAGCTTCAGCTGGGCCCATTGTTTCTCGAACAATCAAGACAAAGGCGGGACAAATACCACAATCACCTGGCAGCTTTAACCACTTCCTCAATTCTCACCTGGAGATAAAGGCCGTTACATGGCTGTCAATCAAAGTGTTACCTGAATCTTATGTGTAGATGACTGCAAACCACAGTCTTATATAGTGTTTGAGAGCAAGGATTCAGAAATGACTTGAAGATTTGGGTGTACAAGTATTTTACACAATGAAAGGCATGTGGTTTATATGTTAAATGTGATCTTTTCTGTGAGAAAACTAGTTATGTACAGTTTAATTGGTATTATCATTTTAAAGTAGATTATGTCTTTTAATTAATATTTTAATTAATATTTTAAAAATTTATCCTTGAGTGAAAATGCTCAAAAGTATGTTTCAAAATGTATGTCTCCGAGGGTAATTTAAACAAGAACAATCCTTTACTCAAAATGTTTCTCTTGTCTAATTGGGCACTTCTCCATGTTTGTACTTAAGGTATTTGATAAATATATGTGAAAACCAAGATAAATATATGTGAAAACCAAGATAAATATATGTGAAAACCAAGATAAATATATATGTGAAAACCAAGATAAATATATGTGAAAACCAAGATAAATATATGTGAAAACCAAGATAAATATATATGTGAAAACCAAGATAAATATATGTGAAAACCAAGATAAATATATGTGAAAACCAAGATAAATATATATGTGAAAACCAAGATAAATATATGTGAAAACCAAGATAAATATATGTGAAAACCAAGATAAATATATGTGAAAGCCAAGGATCTCCCTGTTTGGTTCTGTTAATCATCAAAAGTTTTTCACCAATATTTTAAGGAAGAATTTGTATCTGTGAGGAAGCTTTGATATAACACCTTGGTGAAATTCCTTCAAGTGCAGATCGTGTTTTGAGAATGTATTTCCTTGGTCGTTGTTGATTCATACAACACTGGGTTGTTGACAACATAAGCCTAACCTGTGGATCTAGCAGCCCTGTATTTGGATGTCTGGTTAATGTTAATACAACATTTAGTTACTGCACGTTTAAATGTTTTCACAAGTGGGCAATATTTTTGCCTAATATTATTTATGTTTTTCTGAAAGATAAAGAGACGTAAATTTGTTTCGTTCAGACAAATATGATGAGAGATGAAAGTAAATGTGATGTATCTAAGAGTGATGCTGGTATGATCAGAATGCTGGTTGTCATGCGTGATGCAGTGGGTCGTATGTACTGGTGTTTTGGAGTTATCACATTTTCTGTGATATACCATGTAGGTTTGATTAGGAACATTGCATATTTTCTTTGCTGATTTTCTAATGGGTGAGTGGGTGAGTGAGTGAGTGAGGCTGCAGTTCCAGCACTATTCCAGCTGTATCATGTCTTCCTCTAAATAATCATGGGCAGTCAGGTAGCCTAGTGGTTAAAGCGTTTGCTCGTCACGCCGAAGGCCCGGGTTTGATTCCCAACATGGGTTCCATTTCTGGTGTACCCCGCCGTGATATTGCTAGAATATTGCTAAAAGCGACGAAAAACATAATATACTTGCTCACTCTAAATAATCAAGTTTGGACCAGACAAACCAACGACGGAAAATGCAAACAACCATTCACATCATGAGGATAAGATTACACATGATCACCCTAAGTCGAACACACACACACACACACACACACACACACACACACACACACACACACACACACACACACACCCGCCGCCATTTCTTTCAGTCCAATAGCAAACATGGGGTAGTAGGGACTAGTTCGACCTTCATATTATAATTTCCCCTTCTTTTTCATTATTTTGTGTTAGCAAAGTCACTGACCAACTAAAAAAATAATCCTAGTTTTTTTGATGGAATGACCAGATTGAACAATACTCTTTTTTAACAGATGAGCTAAATTCTACTTTTATACACTGAAAAATGAATAAATCAGTTATAAATAAAAGCCACAATACTCTTTCCATTATCATAAGCTTAATACAGTAATACCTACACTCTTGTGTGAGGAAACTAACACCACATTTTCAGTATTTGTATGAAATATCATAAAGGTAGGACCTATTTATGTTTCCGCATTCAACGTAATAAGCGCCCACGGCAATATTTGCTGATACATATATTGGCTTGAGAACAATCCCAATTAGCACCCCTTCTGCTTGATCAATGTTCACAAGACTTATTTATTTGTGTATAATACGCACTCGTGTTATATGCACCCTTAATTATGGGCAATTAAATTCTGGAAAATAAATCTGTCGTGTATGATACACACATACTTTTCTTTTGTATCATTTCAGGCTGTCAGCATAAACCACGAAATTTACGATCTTTCAACTCTGGTTTTTTTACCTTACCAAAATTATATTCTAATAAGGGCACCCTATTTCTAAGTGCCCAGGGTACTTATTACATCAAATACAGTATATGTAATTAAATTATTAACACATGTCCTACCATAGAAAGGTGTGTTTTTAATGTCCATGTTATTGTTCAGTTCCTGGGCAGAGTTTAATAATATGGCAAGGCCTGCTGAGTATATTGTTGAATGTTAGAAGTTTGTCCGAGTTATAAATGTTAAATGTTTTTGTTTTCTTTCAGGTCCAGGGCATAACCATGACCTTCATACAAGGTCGTCTGGCGGCAGCAGTGGCGGCAGTCGCAGCAGCACACATAGCGACATCATCAACCAGCTCGGAGAGGCGGGCGATGTACGACAGTATCTCACAGTTGATGTAAGTTGTAGGCATCATATAATTCAAGACATAAATCGGGGGTAGAATAGGTCTTTAGCAACCCATGCTTGTCATGAAAGGTGGCTATGCTTGTCTAAGAGGCGACTAACGGGATCAGGTGGTCAGGCTTGCTAACTTGGTTGATGCATGTCATCAGATCCAAATTGTGTGGATCGATGCTCATGATGTCAATCACTGGAGTGCAGACTCAATTTTTTACAGACCGCCGTCATCTAAACGGAATATTGCTCTGCAGTGTTAAGCAACAAACAAACATTAACACCAATGATCAGTCTCTAATATCGGCAGAAACAGATTCCATAGGGCATAATAGCAAAACAATGATCAAAATTATATGAAACGATCACTGATTGACTCCAGGTCCTGTCACAACAGTTCTAAATGTCTTGGTGCAAGGAAAATATTGCATGATGGGAGTAGTGTCAGTCATAGATTTGTGAGATGAGATCCTGGCCAAGTCCGTGTACACAACAACATAGATCATGAAGGGACATAACCATGTTGTAGATGAATTCCATGTTCTTATGATTTGTGACCAGTATTCTAGAGCAAGAAGAAACCCTTTCCCCAAGCGTCTCGTTACCCCTCCCTCTATTGAGAATTTTATAAGACTTATGTCAGCTGAAAACGAATAAATTATAAAAAGCTTAGGTAAGTTTCTCTTCCAAGTCATGAACATTCGAACGGAAACACAGTGTTCGGTAAATCATTATTAAATCTACTCTGCATGCGAATATATATACAGTATATTTCCATGCCATTATGGGCCGGTGGCCTGAAGTACCGAATAAATTTGTCTGTCTGTCTGTCTGCCTGACAACATAGATCTGAACTCCTGCTTTCAACCATTGGTTTGTTATGCCCTGGACTTACAGTATACAGGCTGGAATCAGTCTGACCAGCATAAAACAACATTCACTCACCCACAAATTGGCACCAACGCTTGCTAAATGTTATCGTTTATGCTGGCTTGTAATTCTTACAGAGGATGATTTAAGACATAAAAAATTCATCTGTTTTACATTCGTAGATTTATGTAAGTAAGAATAAAATGTCTGAATGAAATGAAAAGTGAGCTATTTTAGTTTTGAAGCATGGCTTAACTCATCATATTTGACAGGGAAGCAGATATCTTGTGATCTGCGGAAACTGTAAATTACCAAGGGATATATATAGCATCGTAATGTCATACTGTGTGGCTGCTGAAATCCTGTTGTGTCATCTTTATCACGAGGACAGTGTGATGATGTGTCACTTTAGGAAACTTCTTGGGGGAGGGAACAAAAATGTATGTTCACAGTCATTTTGTATGCTTATTTGTTGTTTTAGAAACAACAAACAATATAATAACCACTGACCTGAGAGAAAGTAAGGGACTAGTAATCCAGACACTTATTTCTTACAAGGTTTCTTAGTCAGGATAAGTTATATGCCGGCCGGCAGGAAACATAATGAAATCAGATACCTTCTCAGTGTTTACCTAAGGTTAATTTCCACCAAACAAACTTTACTGCCTTGTGAAACCATGACCGCCTAGTGAAACCATGACTGCCTTGTGAAACCATGACTGCCTTGTGAAACCATGACCACATAGTGAAACCATGACCGCCTAGTGAAACCTTGACCATCTAGTGAAACCATGAATGCCTTGTGAAACCATGACCACATAGTGAAACCATGACCGCCTAGTGAAATGATGACCCTCTAGTGAAACCATGACTGCCTTGTGAAACCATGACTTCCTTGTGAAACCATGACCACCTAGTGAAACCAGGACCCTCTAGTGAAACCATGACTGCCTTGTGAAACCATGACCCTCTAGTGAAACCATGAGTGCCTTGTGAAACCATGACCACATAGTGAAACCATGACCCTCTAGTGAAACCATGACCACCTAGTGAAACCATGACTGCCTAGTGAAACCGAAACCGCCTAGTGAAACCATGACTGCCTTGTGAATACATGACCGCCTTGTGAAACCATGACCGCCTAGTGAAACCATGACCGCCTAGTGAAACCATGACTGCCTTGTGAAACCATGACCACATAGTGAAACCATGACTGCCTTGTGAAACCATGACTGCCTTGTGAAACCATGACCGCCCAGTGAAACCATGACTGCCTTGTGAAACCATGACTGCCTTGTGAAACCATGACCACATAGTGAAACCATGACCGCCTAGTGAAACCATGACTGCCTTGTGAAACCATGACCACATAGTGAAACCATGAGTGCCTTGTGAAACCATGACCACCTAGTGAAACCATGACTGCCTTGTGAAACCATGACTGCCTAGTGAAACCATGACTGCCTTGTGAAACCATGACCACATAGTGAAACCATGACTGCCTTGTGCAATCATGACTGCCTAGTGAAACCATGACTGCCTTGTGAAACCATGACTGCCTAGTGAAACCATGACTGCCTTGTGAAACCATGACCACCTAGTGAAACCATGAGTGCCTTATGAAACCATGACTGCCTTGTGAAACCATGACTGCCTTGTGAAACCATGACCGCCTAGTGAAACCATGAGTGCCTTGTGAAACCATGACTGCCTAGTGAAACCATGACTGCCTTATGAAACCATGACCACATGGTGAAACCAAAAAGAAACCCTGTTAGCTTATCCTGAGCAACATATGATTATAGTGGGCAGGCAGGTTTTGGTCAGGGCTGGCAAGTATTTCAGCTAGCCAGTCCTGTGGTCTGGCTGAATTTTTTGGGAGTTTCATACCCTGATAATAACACTAATATAGTCCAAAGTGCACCCAGTTCTTTATGTGTAGGTGCCCACCGATGCCCTCTGTGTCTGCAGCAGGAAGTAGACGTCCTGCTCTGTGTCAGTGTTTCAGTAGGTCGTCCAGCGTGGTGGGGGGGGGGGGGAGTGTAGCAAGGATTAACTCATTCAGGCTGACGCTGATAAGAGGGATTTACAGGTAGTCAGGCTTGTCGAGGTAATGGTAGAGAACCGGTCCCCGACTTGCCAAGTTTTAATGGTGACTGAATGCCTTGTTTAGATATGTATACTAAAAAGAAGTTAAAGAACATCCCACAACAAATAAACTGTAGTAATATGAAAGAAACAAGTGTTCTTAACTAGTTGTATATATTATTGCCCAAAACAAATTGTTTGTCATAGTCATTGTATTTTTTATGTTGTCCACTTAGCTGCAGTGTTGATATGTTTTTGTGAGTATTAGTGTACAATCTTTATAAATGTTAATGGAAGGTTTGGTCTTGTACTACATCTACATGTGTTACTGCTTGTTGAAAGCAATTTGTATGTGGTCACAGAAGACAGATTTGTATATGGACTGTTTGAATAATATTTATTCATGTATGTTCAATTTTCATCATAAAAATACAATCATTCCTAATCGTGGAAAGGGGTAGAAACAAACTTGCATGTGTCCTGTATAAAGCAAATAAGTACCCATCTAGAGACACACTCATTTAGTTTTATTACTGATAAAGCATAAAATGCAACTATATTAATGGACATCATACAACCCCTCAGTTAAGGACAATTTATTTTTTATATTAAAAGGAACATAATTAGTGACATAGAAAATGCTATTACTGACATTGTAATACGAACACCTCTTTGCAAACACCTGATAGTAACACCGCTTAAGACACAATCGCAATCGTACAACAGACCCAGATTTTAGTAGAGATTTCTTTCTTAGAAATAAAGCGAAAAAACCCTTTGCATATCCAATAGAATTCTCGATAGTACGATTCCGACTGTATCATGAGCAAGTGTTTATGTATCACTATCAAATAGTGATGATACCTGGTGTTCGCAAAAAGGTGAGCATATCCTGCCCCACTGGTGGCAACACATGCACAGGCAAGTCAATTATTCACCTGAAAAAACGTGGAAACATGGTACAAATCAAAATAGGGAATTGCATCAGACATTTTTGTCACTGATGCATCAAATTTGGAAATGTCCTCCACATGTCTACCATAAAACCTTTTGAGAGCTTTACTGAGGCCTTGGATGTTGTAAACTTGATCAAATTTTATGACACTCTTTGAAATCTTGGTAGAAAGAGCGTGCTCGATTGTATCTCAAAAGTTGTGAAATGTAAACACCTAAGGCTGGAGCCTCTGGATTATTGCTTGACATGAGGGGAAAGTTGACTAGTGGAAAGTTGAAGTCATCCTCTTGTCCATACAGTCTTGTGGAGAGTGTTTTGGCACTCTGAATCTTTATGCGTTGATCTTAATATGAAGCAGATGAGGTTTTCTCACTGGTCTCCGTTATTTGCAGTTCAGGTGGGTAAATCAGTGGAAGGGAACTGGCTATCTGATTGTTATTAAGCAATATGATATCATCAATATACCTGATAGAAATTCCTTTATGACCAAAGAAAATGATTCTTGACCATGGAGAGAAAATCCTGTTTATTTTGTCTGTTGTTCAATGCCAAACTCAGCATTTTCCAGCTATGTGATGGGTCTGTAAATAATCAGACAATCCAGTGATTGACATCATGAGCATTGATCCAGGCAATTGGGATATAATGTATGCAATCAACAATGTCATGTGGCCGACCACGTGATCCATTTAGTTGCCTTTAACAAGCAGCAAAGGTTGCTGGGGATCTTTATTATGAGGAATCCCCACAGATCCTCTTTGACCAGAGAAAAAAACTAATTGATGACCATAGAAAGAAACTAATTGATGATCACACAAAGAAAATCCTTTTTGACCATAGAAAGGAAATGCTTGATGGAAATAGAAAGAAATTACTTCTTGGACACAGAAAGTAACTTAAGGACAGTAGAAACCAAATTGAAAGAAACCCTTCAATAACAGATTTGAATGCCGTGCAAAGTGTTGAGGATTAGATCTACGTGGTAATGAGTGGTCTGTATGTGCAGTGGTGTGAAGTGTATTGATCTGGCAGAAGGGCAGGTCACAACAACCTAGGGGGGACTGACATGGAGAGGGAAGGGGAGGGAGGAGGGGGGGGGGGGGGGATCAATGCTTGTACCCAATGTCCTGGTAATATTCTGTAACATGCAATGTAGAAAGGATCTTTGCAGATTCGATTATGTGATATTGTCTTTAAGAACTACTGCAGTGAACTACAAAGTATTATGCCTTCTGGTGGCCAGGTAGTGAGATAGAAAGGTTTAACAAGAGCATCTATATTGCAGATGGGATGCAAATGAGATACATATGGCTTCCCACAATTCAAGTTCGACAACCTTTTATTTAATTACTCAGTCAAAATCCCAAGATTCAGTTGCAAATGAAAATAGATTTACTGAGTTACCTCCCTTTGGTTTCAGTGGAACAACTGTGATGTGTCTGTTCCTGGTAAAGTCTGGGGTCGTCAGCGTAACAGTAGAAATAGCTTGATTGTCCTGTTAGACTGTCTGACAATGTGAATGCTTTGATCAATCACCCAGTGTCTCCAAGTGTCCCTGATTGCTGCTACCCCACGCAACTGGTATTACCTCCACGGGGAAGCCGGGCTTCACGTCTGACAGCGTTACTTTAAGCTAAAGACAAAAGTAACCGCATAATATGCTCTGAGCCGCTCTCTCATACACATCAAAGACCGATGGTTCAATCTGTAAGATGTCATAATTAAACATATTTGTATATTGAACACTGGCCATGATTCCTACTTCTAAGGATAAGGCAGGCTCATTGGATGACGGAGAACCTCATAGGATCACCAGATATGTCTTCTGCAAGATATGAGCAAAACATGTTCAATTGGTTTCAGATGTATTCATACAAAGAAAAGCAGATGCCCTTTTAAAAACCTGACTGCTGTAAAATATAGAGGTAAAAGAACTGATGTTTTAATTATAGGCTCATGCGATGTTTTTTGCCAGAGTGTTTCTGAGGACATGGACTGTGTAGCAAAGGACAATACAAACATGTGATGACATTCTTCTCCGATCTGAAGATTGACATTTACATGATACAGAGGACTGGCATGAAGATGCCGGATTATTAGTTTACTACAGTTCAATGTTTTTTTTGACATTTCGACATGGTCCTTATCATTAGCATTATAAGGATTTATGATCAAATGTTATTCTTGGTTTTTAGTGGGTGAGTGTTTCGTAAGGGAATCTGCATTGTGGTTTCTGCTACAGATATCTGAAGATGACGGCGGCGAGAGTGACACTGGCAGTATAAACACCATGACAGAGTCGGAGTCTCAGCTGTCTTATGGCAGACAGGTCGGCGCCATCAGGAAGGCAGGGTGAGTGTTTCGGTCTGCTGTATCTGTGTCATGATGCCATATTCCCCCTCTGGGAAAAAAGATGTAAGGCATCATCCACTAAAGAAGAAAGAATATGTTTACTTGAACGTGAATTAGAACCCTGGAACGTACATTGTCATGTCATGACACATTGTCCTTTGCATGACATGTGATGGCGATGTGGTGCCTCACTCTCATAGAGAGGGTTCGAATCCTGGAAGGGATGCTACCCCCAAAAGTATGAGAATCTGTGCTAGTCCCCAATACAACATTTGTTACATTTGACCACTTTCTGAAAGGCATTTGGTATTCATCACATGTCATTGGTGGTGGATGTTTGATTGACAGGTTCAGGGGCCGTCTCAAAGAAATACAAATTTGGAAAGGTTGCTTAGTTTTAAAATATTTAAAAAGAATGTGCTATTCATCACAACAAGCAATGTTGGTGTTCCATGTTTAAGTCTGTCTGTCTGAGACACAGGGAGGTTCCATAAGACACCACAAACAGCTTGTGTTTGGTGGACATCCTTTACTTGCTAGGCAAGATGGCGGTACACAACCCTCATTGTCAGTGACCAAACACACAAAGCTGTGATGTTACACACATATGCTGGTAGTAGTGAGACTCCTTGTCACATTATACATGGTATTAGCGGAAAGTGGGAGAATCTCCAGACACTGTCATACACTTGGGCCTGTTGGGAGGGTCATGACCTCTGGACACTGATGAATGACAACTTTCTGGCCAACTCTATATATAAACGTATAAGAGATGTGTGAGACTGCCTCCGTGGTCTAGTGGTAGAGCGCCCGCCCGGAGAGCGGAAGGTCGGGGTTTCGATCCCCAGTAGCGTCATACCGAAAGACATAAAAGATGGTACTTGTTGTTACCCTGTCTGGCGCTCGGCATTAAGGCGCTCAAACAAGGACTGGTTGGCTCGGAGTTGGTAAACTGTGTCTGAGTGGGGTATTCATGTTAACTGTGGCATGGTATGTCAGTGAGCTAGCACTAGAAATCAGCATCAGTCTGACTAGTACAAGCAGCCACACAAACACACACATGTACATGCAAGTCGTTATATAAGTGCAATAATCTTGGACGCGACGTTAAACCCCATTTCACCTCACCTTGTAACATGCGTGACAGAGGCTGGGATGGGGTAAATAGCCCAGTGCACACTGTTGTAGCATGTCATTGTTTGCCAGCAAGGGAAGCGGATATTTGCATGTTTGATAGAGAAAAAAGAATATATGTAGAACCTAAAAAAACAGTTCCATTTCATTTTCTTAGTCCCGATTCCTGAATTGGATTTTACAGTGGCTATTGCCTACCTCCAAAAGTACATACAAAAGATACACAAGCCAAAAGTTATATCTGAAACATCGCTAAGAATGTATTCATCTTAATTTTAACTATTCTAAATATTTGACACATTTGTTAATGATTAAGAAAATTCTTTAATCCTGTTGCCATGTATTAAGGGTACCGTTATCATGTAAGTAAATATGATATGTATATGTAAGTTATGAAATGTAAGTGATCTAGACTACCAGTTGTCAGACTTTCATTTTTTGTGGAAGCCTCGATGGCTGAGGGGGGTTAGGTCATTGACTTTGTGTGCTTTCGTGTGTCGGTTTGAATCTTGGGTGGGACTCAACCCCAAAAAGTACTAGAATCTGTACTTAACTAAGAAAGTGTTATCCCAAATATTACATTTTTTCTGTGTTGTTGTAGATGGCTCGTAGTGAAGAACTGGCTTGTCCACAAAAAGAAGAAGATAGAACTGGCGGCACGCCGGAACTGGAGGAGGTACTGGATGTGCCTGAAGGGAACCACCTTGTTGTTCTTTGACTGTGATGAGGGCAGCACCGTCAACCAGAACAGCGTTCCAAGACATATACTAGGTCAGCCACTATAAGTATTCTTCAGTAACCCATGCTTGCCGTAAAAGGCGACTATGCTAGTTGTAAGAGGCGGCTAAGGGGATCTGGTGGTCATGCATGTCATCGTATCCCGATTGCGTGGATCAATGCTCATGATGTCAATCACTGGATTGTCTGGTTCAGACTCACTTATTGACCAACCGACATCATATAGATGGAATATTGCTGAGTGTGCCATTTAACAAAATATGTCAACTACTCGTTGAATGAAACAGATTCAAAAGAAGGCACATTTGTTTGTCTTGGACTCTATGGAACAATCCCTGAAGAGATTACTGGAAAATATGCAATCTGAGAGAAACAAAGTTTTGGGCATATTAATACTTGTGTCTTCATCATGTCTTTGGAGTATGAATACTTGTGTCTCTCCATCACATGAAAAAGAAACATAACAAAATGGGAGTGACCATTCCTAGAGAGCAGAGCAGATGGTGTATAGTTCTGATTGGGTGTTTGCACCCGGACCTGGCTCTTGACCCAGATTAGTGGATATGCCACTTTCAGAGCCCAACCCATCTGAGAGAACCTTCTGGTGACACTCCTGGTAGTGCCAGGGTCACAGTGACCTTGGTGGTCAGTCCCAACCCATCTGAGAGAACCTTCTGGTGACACTCCTGGTAGTGCCAGGGTCACAGTGACCTTGGTGGTCAGTTGGGAGATTTCACTGTTCGGAATTATTAGTTCTGAAGCTTTGATTTCCGATTAGAACTGGAAAGAAAACATTAGCTGTTAATCTAAAAATTAGACTTCCTGATTCTGAATATGAGAGACAAATTGCCTTACCATTCAGAAAGCCCAACCAATTCAGTTGAGTGTTTTGTCGTATTTTGGTCACAGACAGCAATTTGTCTGCTACATCAACAATCTTAGTCTTTACTTGTATGAACTGGACAAGACAAGGAGGAATGATTTGGCAGGGAATGGCATAGTCCTCTCAAAAGGTCTACACCATGAGTGAGTGAGTGGTTTTACACCGCTTTTAGCAATTCTCCAGCAATATCACGGCGGGGGACACCAAAAATGGGCTTCATACATTGTACCCATGTTGGGAATCGAACCCGGCTCTTCAGCGTGACAAGCAAACGCTATAACCACTAGGCTACCCGACTGCCCGTCTGCACAGTCACGGACAACTTTGGATGAACATTGGATGAAGCTTGCACTATGAGAATCATATCACAAAAAACTTACAATCATGGAACTTTCCCTTAGTGTATGAGCACGAGCTGTGAGAACATTATTAATATTGTTCCTAACATGCTTAAGGATGCATTAAATTACTTATTAGATTTTCCAGTTTTCAAAAATGTGGGGTAGGAGGCAGTTTATTGTTGTATGGTTTATTTTAGATTTATTTTAGAAGAAACTTTTTGTTGCATCTGTGATGTATGAGTGTTGGGTAGGACATGACATATGGTCTATTTCATCAAGTAAAGAAAGAACTAAACATTTACTTTCTTGTCTGTAGTTGTGATGTGTGATGGAGAATTGTTAATATATCATGATATGATGAGTCATGCCCTTTCATGCTTGTCTGGTTTCAGTTATAGAAGGAGGGATTGCCCAGGCCGTGCCCGAACACCCGAAACGAGACTTCATCTTCTCGCTCAGCACGGCATGTGGAGATGCTTACTTGCTGCAGGTGAGCTTCAGGACATAGTCACAACAATGTTAGGCCTCGTATTTCTAATTAGTTGGGTTTGAAATCTAACGAGTGACTGAGTGGTTTAATGCGGCAGTATCCAGTTATATCACGGCGTGTGGGAGGAAAGCCCGAAGTGATGCAGCTCTTTACCACTTTGGTGCTGACAAACCTAGAAACATAATTGAGGCAAACCTGGATTCAAACCCACAATCATAGGTTTCTGGCATGCCCAAGGGATGCAACTCTGCACAGTGAATTGCAGCCCCTTAGACAACTGGGCCACCTGTGCCCCCTTGAAATCTAACCACATTATTAAATCTGCAATTAGTGATGAAAAGTCTTTTGACAATTTTTCTCGGCCTGACTTTTTTTTACAATTCAGCATTTGGATCAGTGTTGATGAAGAACTTCTTCAGTCATGTGAGGTCCTGTAGCTGGTGCTACATCTCTGATCACTGGCTTCAAGGAGTGGAAGATTGACATTTGATGCTGCATATTTCCTCAATTAAGATCTGATTCACATTTTTATGCCATGGAGATTTACTTGATTTTCTATTATTCATTATACAATTTATTCAGGATATAATGATACGATTCAAAATTCATAAATCAATAATTTTACTTTTAAGGGTTATGTAAGTTTACAAGCAGTGTCTAATCACTAATCAGTCTGCATGTTGATGTAGCAAGTTTGTTTGTTGTTTAACGCCGCACTCAGCAATATTCCAGCTATATGACGGCGGTCTGTAAATAATCGAGTCTGGACCAGACAATCCAGTGATTGACATCATGAGCATCGATCCACGCAATTGGGATATGATGACATGCATCGACCAGGTCAGAGAGCCTGACCACCCGATCCCGTTAATCTAGTTGGAATTCTGTTCTTCCAACAAGAGATTTCTGTCCATTTCAGGCTTCTTCCCAAAATGACCTTGAGAACTGGATTCGAGCGATCCATTCAGCATGTGCTTCATCTTACGCTCGACAACATGGGAAGGACAATACACTCAAGCTCCTCAAGAGTGAACTCCTGAAGCTCGACTCAAATGTAGATACTGTAAGTAATATTGTCGTGACAATTTGGAGTGAAATCCTGTTTGTCTAGAACCATTTAGTCTGGAATCAGGCCTTTAGAACTTATGATATCTGTCTACAGAGACACAAACAGACATACACCCATTATGATCCCCCGCCATGAAGTGGAAAGGGGATATAGGAATGTGTGCTGTCTGTTCGTCCTTCCCTCTTTCTGTCCGTCTGTTCATCATGTTTCGTTTCTCGAGCAGAACTTAAAAACTATGAGAGATATCGTAACTAAACTTGTAGCACTGATAGCGAGCGGTTCCTTTGATCTAAGCCGTGCTGTATCCTACAAGTTAAAGCACGTCTGTGCCATGTTCAGCAAGGCCGGCTCCCCACTGGCTGCCATTACAGCAGCAAGCCCCGCCTAGTGAAATGTATACTAAGATACAACATTGTCACCTCAAGGCTCCGCCTCTCGGACCTTTCGCACATCAATCAAGGACCAAGCCAAACAGTGCTGTAACTAGACCAATGTCTCGTCCATGTGTATGGTAACTTTAACTTGGCACATAGATAGTCTAGTAGTGAACTGGTGCCTTATGATAGTTTGGGATTTTTTTTAAATGTATTTTTCGAGTTTCCATGGCAACAACTTTGACTTAGTCTGGACATTGGCGGTGGATATGAGTATTTCATGCTTGTTTGCAGACCAGGAGTACCTTCCAGATTAATGGGATTTTACTGTCGTTGAGAATTGTGAATGATTAACATGTGTATGATATCCTCTACAATAATCACGAGAAGTAACATGGCAGAAATAGAAAGAAAGCATGTAAGAGGTTAGATTCTTCAAAAAATTGTTTATATTCCTGGAGAATTTACTTGGCTGAGACGCCACCCCCATGCCACCCCAACCCCCCAACCCCCCAACCCCCCAACCCCAACCCCAACCCCAACCCCAACCCCAACCCCACCCCAAACTCACCCACCACACAGAAGATATTAAAATGAAGTCATAATTACAATTGTGTGAGTGGAAAGGCGTGTTAATGTGTTAACATATTTCAACAGGATGTGAAAATGAAGAAAATGGCGGAGCTTCAGATGACGGTTGTGTCTGACCCGCGGAGCCGGGTTGCGATTGTGAAGCAGATCGCCCAGTGGGAGGAGAACCTGGAGAAGCTGTACATCGAGCAGTACCGCTTCCGCTGCTACGTGGCCTCCCTGCAGGGGACAGAACTCCCCAATCCCAAGGTCAGTTGGAAGGAACTCTTCGAAACAATGTAGATTAATTTCAATCAAGAGTTTACAAGAGGCTGAAGCGATACACAAGTGCATCGTGAGCTTTCATGCAATGATACGATACACGATGCGTTTTTTTTCTGTATCAAAACAAGACAATACACTTGCATAAATGGACTACTTACTACGGTCACCCACCAACACATTTTTATCAATCAAATATCGCAAAATGTACTCTAATTAGCGTTTCAAGTTCACTACTAAAATTAGCGCGACGATCCTTTGGATCCTGCTCTGAAATATTTATAGAAAAAAAGTTTACGTGTGATTAGACGTAAGTATGCGTATTGTGATACGTATCTATCGTATCGTGACCTATGTATCGTGATACGGATTGTATCGCGCCCTTCTGTATCATTTCACCCTTGGGTTCACTATTGCTTACAACAATGGTTTGCAATAGTTCACAATGATGTATTGAATCTAGTTGTATCTTTGTTCATTTGCTCAGAACAGGGAAAATTGCAGGGATATATGTACAAGTTAGGGCTTGCTGCCTTAATCATAGGCTAAGCATACTAACAAAAATATGACTCATATTTGGGGCCACACCAGACTAGCTCTTGGCATTGGGCATATTAAAATTTCTCACATTTTTTACATTTAAGATTATAATGATATCTTAGGCTAAAAAATAAAAGAACTGGTTCTCAGGCAATGACTATTGAAAATATAGGCGGGTGGTTATTGTTTTTTGTTTTTTTGGCTTGTTCCTACTATTAGGTAACTAGATAAACAGTTGTGTACCATCAACCTGGGAACGGGCCTCCCTACAAACTCCTATTGCCGCCATGATCATAACAAAAGATGCGCAGTAAAGCAGTGCGCATGTAAAGGGAAGTAACTGTGTGTTATATGGGATCGGATTGTTTTTAAGTATTAGGATTATTTTTATTTTTTGGAAAATGGAAATAAAAGCAAAATGTGCTGCAGACTTTATGATGATGAAGGCAGTACCTGAGAACCATGACTATAATTTGTTTTAGCCTTATAGTTTTTCAGTGACGTTGATACCTGTGCTTGTTTGGTTTCTCTGAATGACCATGTCCTTGTAGGAGACAGCTCTCTGTTGAATTGAGGGAATAGGAATGACACACAAACATTTATCTATACCGGTTTGAATTTGTGTGAGCTGAAAGTACAAGCAGACAATGCACTGTATTGATTCTGTGAAAACCACAAGATTGGATCTGGCACTTACAGACAGAGCCTGAATAGAATTTCCTGAAACTGTCAATGAGACATAGGCAAGGCACTTCATGCTGATAGTACAGTATTTATGATTTTCTTTTTTTTGATAATGACAGCAATAACTCTGTTTTTGCAGGTGCTCCTTGCCAATGCTTCGAAGGCCACAAAGACCACTCTTGGCCGTCTGGGGATCTTCACGGTGACGTCGTTCCATGCCCTGGTCTGTGCCAGGAAACCTCTGATACTGCCAAACATCTACGGGAAGGGGGCTCAGAAGGGAGGCATGTTGTCCCCCAAAACTGACACTCTTCAGAAACCAAGGTCAAGGACACCCACAGCTCTGATGGGCGCTGGCGTCAGCACAGAGTGAGATATATTCCCATATTTAACAATTATTTTATATGAGAAAGAGAGAGAAAGATTTGTTTGTGAACTGGACAACAGTCAGCTGTGTGTCAGGACTATACACCAACTTTTGTTTGTTTGTTGTCTAACGCTGCACTCAGCAATATTCCAGCTATATGACGGCGGTGTGTTAATAATTAAGTCTGACCAGACAATCCAGTGATTGACATCATCAGCATCAATGTACGCAAATGGGATACGATGACATGCGACTAATGAGATCAGGTGGTCAGCCTCGCTGACTTGGTTGAGGCATGTCATCGTATCCCATTTGCGTGGGTCGATACTCATGAATATTGGGTTAAATTGGGTACAGAGTTAAACAACGAACAAACAAAACCTGGAGTATATGTGATTGCAATTACCTATTGTTTATCAGCCTACAAATACAAGTCAGTACAGAACATTAAAGATGGAAGCACAATTCTACCATGAATTTGGAAATACTCAATTTTGATTGGTCAGTCAGAGGTATCAAATCACAATACACCCCCTCAAATAAAAAAAGCCAATTTCAACATGGAAGCTAATACTTTTAGAATAATACTTCTTTCACAATCAATGCAGGCATGTTTATATACTAATGTGTACAATAATAGTATACAAAATGCATAGTTACGGTTACTGCAATATACAAAGGATGTGTGACAACACATTTTGTGCAGAAAACTTGAATGAAATCGACAAAGAGCATGTATGTCTTGAGAACAACAGAGAGCTTGCTTCTTTCAATGGCATTTAGAAGTTGGTGTGATTAAGTAAGACGAGTTCTATGGATGAACAACTTCTTTATTGCTATTTGGTACTTTTTTATGTGTAACTGTCTTTTGTGTCACAATGAGCGATATAACATGATAATAGTTGCGTGCTGTGTAGAACGAAATCTTTCCAAAGCTTGCTTAGTTTTCTTTATGGGTGCGCACCTGGTGCTCACCAAGTAGCCGTGCTACATGCTTTCAGAGCCTGCTTGTGTGAAGTATTACAGTGTAAACAAACTGCTTGAGCATCATATTTTGTTTGAAGGCTGCTGTCAGTGAATCCAGAATTCATATCGACAACCCACTAAAAACACTAGACTCAACCCATGCTGCCCTCACTCAATATATTTCCCAACACCAAAGAGTTCCCGTTATTAGGTCATGGTAGAATGGAGATGAACATACTGTAGAGCTAGGTTACCTGTATATTTAACCTTGCTAAATTTAACATTTGAAACCTCACTCTGCACGTTTCATTCCAGATTGAATTTAGTGTGGTTAAATCTACAGGTAACCTAGCTCTCCATTGAAAATACAGTATGTTTATCTCCTAATGAACTGAATATATTTTTGTAGTTTCACAGTGTTGAAAACATAAGTATCTCCAAAAACATTACATGAGAGCCTGTACATAGATGCAGTAAACACATACATGTATGTAGATGACTTGTTGGGGAAGAACTATGGCTAATTAAGTAGGTCTCAGAGCGTGTTGATGCCTCAAGATTACAGTTGCCATGGCTACTATAAGGTCAACGATCTTAGCGCTAAGGTGATCGTTACTCCCATATATATACATAGGCTTACAATGGTATTATCACTAAGATCTCTTTGTGGATCAGGACCCTGGGCTCTATTCCCCAAAGTGATCTTAGCACTAAGTTGATCGTAACTCCCATATTTTAACATAAGTTTACGATGGTATTAGTGCTAAGATTGTTTTGTGGATCACGACCCTGGGCTCTATACCCCAAAGTGGACTTAGCACTAAGGTTATCGTAACTCCCACACTTTAACATAAGTTTACAATGGTATTAGCGCTAAGATTGTTTTGTAGATCAGGGCCCTGTGCTCTATTCCACAAAGTGATCTTAGCGCTAATTTGATCGTAACTCACATACTTTAACATAAGTTTACGATGGTATTAGCGCTAAGATTGTTTTGTGGATCAGTGCCCTTGGCTCTATTCCACAAAGTGATCTTAGCACTAAGACTGTGGCATGTCTAGGAAAAAGTCATGGCCTTAGATGACTTTGTGGATCAAGGCCCAGATCCCCATGGCTCTTAGCGGAATGGAGTTCCTATAGCTAATTTGGTCTTAACACTCTCATTATTCATGTAGACATTTCTATGTTATCTAGGTCACTGATCCCTCTTCCCAAAATTTTACAAGTATGAAATAATTATCTTTAGAATATTTCAACAGTCGTCTTTTCTTCCTGTTGAGTCAGTTAACATTTCAGCAATTATAAAAAACTCCAAGTCGATCGATACAGAAAGGGAGATAACTCTTTGACTTGTCATTCAAAATAACACTTCAAACAACACATTTCTTTCATGTTAGTTTTGTAGCCTGACCTGTGACCATACTTTTTAGAGATTGCTCTAAAAACTATGTTGCATTTTTATTTTGTATTCCAATCACCGACCCAATGGTTTTGAAAAAATATATCCATGAAACTCGGAGAAAGATTGCCTGACGCAAATGTAAGGTGAATGTGTCTGGTTTACAGAGCTGTGTTTAAAACGGGTAACAGCGAGCGTCTCCTGTCAGACTCTATGGACAACTTGACAGAGAAGTCACTCTGTGACAGCAGCCAGGGTACAGAGAGTCTGTCCAGGGTCATGCTGCCCAACAATCAGGTAATACACTCTTCTCACCTGCCTTATCTCTTACCTGTAATCTTCTCACCTGGGGCACAAGGTTACCTTTATTTATACTCTGTGTGAAATACTAGTTTGTCATATTTAGTGCTTGACGTTTTTAGTCAGTCTAACATGAAGCTTTGAGTGTATGTTTTAAATCAGACCTGAATAAGATTAGTTGTTTATGTTAATGCTTGATGTAAATATTATTTCCTGACAAGTTAGCATGAGTCTGCTCACTATGCACAGAAGTATGTGTTAATTTTTAAAACAGCATCAATAAAAATAAACTGTTTTGATTTTCATGATTCTGCAGCAACTATTTTCTTCCAGAGGATATTAGTAATCATGTGGAAATACATGTATATGGATCTACTGGAATTTTTCTGTACCTGTAGGTTAGAATTTCTCATATTCTATCCTGTAGTGTTTAACACTAAAACATCTGGATCCTGGTGTTTAATACTTTTTAACTTAGATTTCTATTAATAATTTTACATGTAGATAGTTTTCATCGTTTGTATACTTACTCTTGAAACTAATTCTTTGTTTCACAATCAGGAGTAACACAACCTTTGATATGTAGATATCTAGAGAAAGATAGCTTATCTATTATGCTAAAGAGCGTCACTTTGTGAAGACTGAGACAATATTATGACAATATAGATAATGATATTAACAAATATACTTTTCCATAGAAATCTTCCTCGATCCTTTGGCTTATAAACAGTTTTTCCAAATTAGTAATGAGGAAGATAGTATGCCCTAGTTGAATGTAGAATGGTTGTTTGGTAGATAGAACGTAGAAATAGTTTAACTTGGCATTGCAGTCCTATGACTTTCAGACAATGCTGGTCGGCATCGACAAGAGGACGACGGTCAGGGATCTGCTGGAGTCCACCTGCAACAAGCGACAGCTGAACCCGCGCGACCACTACGTCCGCATCAAGCCGCTCGGCGCTCCCGACAACAAGTTCCTCATTCCTGACAGGCATGCTTGTATCAAGTCATTGGTGAGGGCATCGTAGAGCCTTGTCCACATACATTTGTTCGATACAATGTTATTTATTGATGGTACAGCTGTTATATAGTGTTATTTGATGGTGCAGATATAGTGTTATTTGAAGGTACAGATGTTATATAGTGTTATTTGATGGTACAGATATGATAAAGTGTTATTTGATGGTACATAGATATGATACTATGTTACTTGACCTTTCAGAAATATGATACATTTATGGTTGATGTTACAGAAGGATGATACATTGTTGGTTGATGTTACAGAAGTGATACATTGTTGTTTGATGTTACAGAAAGATTATCCATTGTTGGTTGATGTTACAGAAAGATGATACATTGTTGGTTGTTACAGAAAGATGATACATTGTTGGTTGATGTTACAGCGGTATGATGCTATAGAGGTTTGCCAGAAGTGTATATTCCAACTTGAGTTGACGAAGCCCTCCAAGGATGGAGTGTTTGGCTTTGCAGTGGAGGCGGAACTTGCCGAAGACTTTGATCGTGATGATGAACTGCGAGTGTATGTGTGTGATGTCACGGGGGGCTGTGTGGCAGAGAAGAGGGGTAAGGATTTAGCATTGATATATTACTATATATGTTCACTACCAGTACATATTCAGAGTTCAATCTTAATTCATTTTGAGCTGCGTTTGAGGTGAATGCTTTTAGGATGGAACTAAATATATGCGTTGTAATAAGAAAGAATCAAACACATCTTTCATATTATATATACAAATAATTTGTATGTTTATTTTTTAGAAAAATATAACTGACTTGATCTGGAAGACACTTTTACCTCCCTTTTAAACTAATAACTATATTATGATTTTCTTTTATTTCATAGCTTTGTTTTGGGGAACCAATTATGGGCCATTGTATATTTTTGTGATAAGGAACCTTTTTGCCTGTTTTCTCTCGAGATGATGCAAAGTTATGATTAGTTACATCCCATGACCTTCACCTCCGTCGTGTCTGTTTCAGGGCTTATAATTGGAGATGAGCTGCTTGTGATTAATGGCAAGATTGTGTCTGAGCTTGATATGGTGTATATAGAAATGTTGCTTCATGAATCAAGGACTCTGTTTCTGACGGTGCGCTCTCTGCGGACGAAGCCACCACACAGTGACTTTATAACGGAGCATGCAAACACATACATAGACAACATGGTGATTCCACCGCCACCCAGCCAGCCAAGGATCACAGACAAAGTTATTGGGAATCTTATTGTGCCAGCACCTGCAAGATCACAGAATGGTGAGATGACTAAACCTCAGCCTGCAAGTAGCACTAGGACAATCTCCCATACATAGACCTTCAACAGTTGTAGCGCTAAGACAATCGTAACTCCCATACTTTAACATAGACCTACAACAGTCGTAGCACTAAGTCAATCGTAACTCCATACTTTAACACAGACCTACAACAATCGTAGCACTAGATCAATCCTAACTCTCATACTTTAACATAGACCTACAACAGTCGTAGCACAAAGTCAATCGTAACTCCATACTTTAACACAGACCTACAACAGTCTTAGCATTTCTCTTAGTATTAATATATGGATTAATATTTGACGGAAGTTACTTCACTCTTAGCTTAGTGGCTAAGGTCACGGAGCAAAGCTTTGCTATTTTGTTAATATTGAAGAAACACTGAAATGGCAGCCAATTTCTTGTTTCTGGTGCCAGAATCCTTTCACAGAATGTTTTACCCTCAGTTGGTTCCCCCAAGTCTTTAATGCCTGGCATCATTCTGTAATTTCCTCATGTGCCAGAACCGCCTCCGTGGTCTAGTGGTACAGCCTCCACCCGGAGAGCGGAAGGTCCGGGGTTCGATCCCTGGCTGCGCCATACCAGAAGACATTAAAAGATGGCACTTGTTGTTGCCCTGTCTGGTGCTTGGCATTAGGGGCTAAAACAAGGACTGGTCGGCTCGGAGTTAGTATACTGTGTCTGAGTGGGGTATTCATGTTAAACTGCGGCATGGTATCTCAGTGAGTTAGCACTATAAATCGGCATCAGTCCGGACTAGTACAAACAGCCACACACACACGTACATGCACGTCGCTATATAAGTGCAATAATCTTGGACGCGACGTTAAACCCCATTTCACCTCTCCTTGTAACATGTTTGACAGAGGCTGGGATGGAGTAAATAGTCAGTATACTGTTTATAAGTGGGGTATTCTGGCATGGTATCTCAGTGGACTAGCACTATTAAGTCAGCATCAGTTCGACTATTCCAAGCAGCCACACACACATACATGTGCATGCACAACGCTATAAGTGCAATTATCTCAGTCGCGACGTTAAACTCCATTTTCACCTCACCTCACCTCATGTGCCAGAATAAGACTGTAATAGAAACATCAAAACAAACTCACTCACTCACTCACTCACTCACTCACTCACTCACTCACTCACTCACTCACTCACTCACTCACTCACTCACTCACTCACTCACTCACTTGAAGCCTAATTAAATTATTGCTGTGTTGACATAATGTATCTCAATATTATGTTGTCTACAACTTCACACACAATTCAAGTGTCCTTCCAGGTTGTCAAAGCTAAAACTCTATTTTTTTCAATGTTAGCAAAACGTCCATGTTGAAGTTGGGTGCCTTCATGTGATGTCTGTTAGCATGGACCGATGTCAATCTGGCATGTGACTGACATGTATCATGTGACTGTTTCAGCCAATGGAAAGCTGCGGAGTGGTAAGGCCCACGAAGGCACCGACCAGATTGATGCTCTGTTAAGGGTAGGTTATTTTACAATTGTTGTAAAATGTAGAGACTGCACTTGTTACAGTTAAAGGGGTACTCAGCTCAGGTTAGTAGGCAGTCCCAGTAGGTTTGTTCAAGTCATAACTCACATTTGTGAAAAATATCAATCTTTTATCTATTGATTACTGTAATAAACAGGATGTGTAAGTTCTACATATGGCATTATTTTCTACGTCGAGACCTACAGTGGGAATTGGGCACTGGACCATCACCACAGTCCTCCTTTAAAAATTTGTTTATGACCTTTCTTTAAGTTGTTACACACTTGACCTAGTCGAAGACTATTTATTATTATTTATACTGAATATTTTATTTGACCAGCATCGAATTATTATATTTTCAATGCCTCGTGGGTTGTCCTACTAGTCTCGTTACTGATGCGGTTGTTTGTCCAGGGAGCGGAACAAGTGACCGCCATCTGCCGCAACTCCGAACCGTCTCTGAGGTCACACTCACCCGACAGCACTGGGTCAGCTCGACCTATGAGCGATGCTCAGCGGATGAGGAAGGTCATCATGGAGCTGATCGAGACAGAGCGGGCGTATGTCAAGGTGAGGATGATGGTGTCTCCTATGTAATGTTGGTTTGAGGGATGACATCTTCTTGAGGCAAGGGAGTTAACTGACTGTAAAAGTCAAAACTAAGCGCCCAGTCAAGATGATCTGATCGATAATCAACACCTTTATTGTAATCTAACAGGTCTTACCTCCTTAAGTGCATCAAATCACTTGAGCACCTTTATTAAAAACATGAAAATACTTGGAAAATATCTGTCGACACCGAGCTGACGGTACACACACTCAGCAAATCATGCAGTCGAATGCTATCTTCATGGCAGTCGCCATGTTGTTTATGAAACGGATGTCGATTTCATTACATGATTTTGACTGGACTATACACACCCGTTAGTCAAAATATAACTCCAAAATTCCTGCCTAGGTTCTTGAATTGCTGCTTCTTCTATGTTTTAATATGAATAGCCCCTCAGGGCTTCATAAGTGTGAGTTGCTTCCCTTAGGCTTTCCAGGAACCTATAACCTTGTGTTTGATTTTCCCTGATTAGGATCCTTGATGTTTTAGCACCATGCCCAAGCATGCATCACTATTGGGTTTCCTAGCACAATATCCTGACACATCATGTATGCCTGAAATTAGGGCTGGAACGATACGCCAACTGTGCGATCTAATTCGTATCATGATGCCTACTTCACGATACGTATCGCAATACTCGTATGTGCTCTTTTCTGTGGTGCAAAGACACGATGGCCAAATACCTGACACAAATGATTTACAGTTGGCAGTGTCAAATATGGTGCAATGGATGAAAATATTTATTTTTTCACTTCTAATTTTTTATACTAATTAGTGTTTGATGTTAGTTATTAAAGCAGACACTTAAGGTATGAATTGATATCTTTTACTTTGTGTGCGACTCGTGATTGATACTCAGTCAGGAAATAAAATATCGCAATCCACCGATGCATCAGTTTATCGTCCCACCTCAAATACTGTCAAAAGCAGTATGTAATCCAACTCACTCATTTACTGATGTTTGAGTGAGTGAGTTGGGTTTTACACTACTTTTAGCAATATTCCAGCAATATCACGGCAGGGAGCACCCGAATTGTTCTTCACACATGACACCAATTTTGGGAATCAAACTCGAACCATACAAACAGCCTAGATACCAATGCAAAATTTTTACCCCAAGCCAGTTACAATATATCCATGACTAAATTGTGTATTCCAGGACTTAAACTGCCTCACAGAGCGCTACCTCGAACCACTGAAGGAAGAGACGTTCCTGACCTCTGACGAGATCGACCAGTTGTTCGGGAACATCCAGGAGATCGTCCTGTTCCAGGGTCAGTTCCTCCACAGCCTGGAGGAGGCCATCGACCAGGAGAAGGACTTCTTCAACACCAGCGACTCGGCACAGTTCAAGGTCAGTCGGGAACCTTTGCATGTTTTGACACATTTTTGTTTATTCATTATCCATGTCTTACATATATTTCATTCTAGAATGCTTCCAAATACATTCAACCCTCATTACCAAAGTCTGTAAGACAATATGTCGAGATGTGTGTAGACAGTGGAGATATTAGAGAGTACAGTGATAGATATTCTAGAGCAGTTTCATCATATTACACCAGTTTCCTACATCCAAAACTGCTCATGTTTATAAAGTGACAGACCGCCTCCGTGGTCTAGTGGTAGAGCGTCCGCCCAGAGGGCAGAAGGTCAGGGGTTTGGTTCCCGACCGCGTCATATCAAAAGACGCTAAAATATGGTACTTGTTGTTGCCCTGCCCGGCGCTCTGCATTAATTGTCTAAAACAAGGACTGGTTGGCTCGGTATTCATGTTATGGTATCATGCAGCATGGTATCTCTGGGCTAGTGCTATAAAATCGGCTTTTGTCCGGACTAATACAGGCAGCCATACACATTGACATACGTCGCTATATAAGTGCAATAATCTTGGACGCAACATTAAACTCCATTTCACCTCACCTATATAGTGAGTAGAGATAACAGATACTAGGTACCTGTAGGTGGTCAGGAATATCGTGTGAATTCTGCTTCCCTATTACTGCTATGGTAGTACTTCTTTGGGTTCTTTTGGAACATTAGAAATATTTATGGATGTTTTTTAATTTCAACATAAATCAATTTCAATGCATGTTTATTCTTTGCTTACATATGAATGCAGTAATTATGATGATATATATGAATTTTTGTAATAGAATCTTTAATTTGAAATAAAGTAGCATGAAAAAGTGTAGGAATTAGTTGTGTAGCTAATAGTATCTTCTTTCTTCTTTGTCTGATCACATGAGTATCATGAAACTGTTAGCTATACAATTTATTGAAGTAAAGTGGAATATATTTGTTTGATTTGCACAGGATACCTGTTTGGCTGTGGGTATAATATTCTGTTGTAATCTTAGACTCTCAGCAACTAGGCAATACAAATTCTTCAATATTCTATGCTTTGATGTTGAATTTCTTCTCACCGTAATGTTATCTAGATCTTGTTGTGATAACATACAGTATCTAGTACACGGTCATGAAATTTGATTGAAAATGTCACCTGATTGATATATCACTGAATGCTTTTATCCTTTCCAAAGTGGTTCAAAGAACCATTTAACACAAGGCAAAAAAAATTCAGCTAGCATGATAGCCCTGAAATGCACTGACAGGCACAAAATTGATATAAATTTCAAAAGGTCACGAACATGATTGTGTTCAGAAAGTCGCAGATGTAGATGACGTCATCACGAAGGCATCATATCACATCACGTTTTCGGAATTTCGTATCAATTTCATTAATTTCATGACACGCTCAATTGCATGAGATGAGTATCAGGACTGATGTTGCATGTGTTGATGCATGGTGTGCGCACCGGTGTGGCAGGTGCCTGCTAACAGTGATCACGGAGACATGCACAGCTTCCGCTGGTACCTGTTAATCTTATTGTCCAATCATGTCATGTTCCTGGACCAGTATGTAGTTTTTGATTACCAAAATAATTATTTTGTTGGCTATATTAATTTTGGGTAAAATGTGTTGGGTTTAGCATGAATAACAAATTAAACATCACCTAGGAGGTAAACTGTAGGGTTTTATAGTGATGGTCAGATACACTGTTTAAACATTAACTGAATAATCCTTCACCTTTCTATTAAAAAAACTGCCATTGAATATGTCCAGTAGAAGAAAATTATCTTTTTTTATTTCCTATGTCATTATGTCATTGTCATTATGTCATTGTATACACGACGTTCCTCCATCAACCGTGAATACATCGTCAATACTTCACGGGTTTGTGAACACAGCGTTCTTCTATCATCGTGAATACATATGGCCGCTTGGCATTGTGGGAAGGATGTGTCTTCTTGATAAAAATTATAAAATGGGGCCATGTATAACTTACTAATGGAGCTCGAGCATGGATTTTGTGTGAACCTGCCATCATCTGATTTTGAGTAATGTGTGGAGTACATGGCCATAAGTGTGATGTAATCTGAGCACTGATTGGTCAGAGAACCGTCTGGTTTCCCTCTGACTGGAACCAGGCTCTGGTTTGATTCGTTGGTTAAAAATAGCGACTTCACCTGGGTGATGGGTGAGCGGAGTGTATACAAACCCAGGAAGTACTCAGTGTTCCTCTGCAGAAGTAAGTTGTGTATTAACAAGACTTGGTTTATTTTCAGCGTGTGTTATTTTCCCTCGGTGGGTCGTTCCTGTACTATGCCAATCACTTCAAGGTGTATAGCTCATTTTGTGCCAGTCACTCGCGATCTCAGAAAATATTCAACTTGGGTAAGTTGCATTATACAGAAAAGTTCTGTAAAATATTTCTACAAGTAGTATTTGATAGTTGTAAGGGTACACAGAACAAATGAGATGTGTCTTACAACTGTATCATATTTTGCTGCTCCCCATGTTTTGTGTTATATTTTTATGGCCCCCTCCCGATAATAAATGACCAATCTCTTAATAATAAATATTCAAATTTATAATTTTTCTATTTGAAAATATAGAACTGTCATTTTTTCACACCACCACCAACCCTATATAGTTGTAAAAAATTTGGCGAACCCCCCACTTTCACTGTGTAATTTTTTCAAGACCCTCCCTTAATCCCCCCACCCTCCCTCCCCTCTTCCCTCCTCCCTCACTTCCCTCCCCTACAATAATTTGCCTGATTGAACATTTCAAAACGGAACTGTATGAACATAACTTATTTACACAGATTATACCTCAGCGATAAAACATGAAGTGGATGCCTCAGTTCCTTGTTTACAAATACCCAGCACTCTAACCCTATAAACACTGCACATAAGGAGAGTCTCGTCTAACCCTATAAACACTGCACGTAAGGAAAGTCTCGTCTAACCCTATAAACACTGCATGTAAGGAGAGTCTCGTCTAACCCTATAAACAGTGCACGTAAGAAGAGTCTCGTCTAACCCTATAAACACTGCACATAAGAAGAGTCTCGTATAACCCTATAAACAGTGCACGTAAGGAGAGTCTCGTATAACCCTATAAACAGTGCACATAAGGAGAGTCTCGTCTAACCCTATAAACAGTGCACATAAGGAGAGTCTCGTCTAACCCTATAAACAGTGCACGTAAGGAGAGTCTCGTCTAACCCTATAAACACTGCACATAAGGAGAGTCTCGTCTAACCCTATAAGGGGTGGTCGGGTAGCTTTGGTTAAAGCGTTCGCTCGTCACGCCGAAGACCCGGGTTCGATTCCTGATATAGGTACAATGTGTGAAGCCCATTTCTGGTGTCCCCCGCCCTGATATTGCTGGAATATTGCTAAAAGTGGCGTAAAACCAAACTCACTCACTCACTCTAACCCTATAAACAGAGCACGTAAGGAGAGTCTTGTCTAACCCTATAAACAGTGCACATAAGGAGAGTCTCGTCTAACCCTGTACATAAGGAAAGTCTCATGTTTAAGGCTACTTGTCAACTCAATGGGCTGTTTGGTGACTATCTTTTGTCCCTCTGAGCTGTTACAAATCCATTGGGCTTTAGGGTAGCCAAGTGGTTAAATCATCCCCAGTATTTCAGGTATCTGCTGTCTTGATATTGCTGGATTGTTGCTAAGCAGAACAATATCATAATCATTCACTCACTCAGTACAAACCCATGTCTTGTGCACAGATGCCAATGAAGCTCTGAAGAACTTCCTGCGCGCACGCAACCCCAAGCAGCAACATTCAGCCACCCTGGAGTCCTACCTGATCAAGCCCATCCAGCGCATCCTCAAATACCCTCTGCTGCTGCAGCAACTCTGCCACCTCACCTTGCCGGACACTGACGAACATCACCATCTCTCAGGTAACTACCCATAACCTGACACTGACGAACATCTCCATCTCTCAGGTAACTACCCCACACCTGACACTGACGAACATCACCATCTCTCAGGTAACTACCCAACACCTGACACTGACGAACATCACCATCTCTCAGGTAACTACCCAACACCTGACACTGACGAACATCACCATCTCTCAGGTAACCACCCAACACCTGACACTGACGAACATCACCATCTCTCAGGTAACTACCCAACACCTGACACTGACGAACATCACCATCTCTCAGGTAACCACCCAACACCTGACACTGACGAACATCACCATCTCTCAGGTAACTACCCCACACCTGACACGGACGAACATCACCATCTCTCAGGTAACTACCCAACACCTGACACTGACGAACATCACCATCTCTCAGGTAACCACCTGACACTGACGAACATCACCATCTCTCAGGTAACTACCCAACACCTGACACTGACGAACATCACCATCTCTCAGGTAACTACCCAACACCTGACACTGACGAACATCACCATCTCTCAGGTAACTACCCAACACCTGACACTGACGAACATCACCATCTCTCAGGTAACTACCCAACACCTGACACTTTGTCCTCTTGTTATTTACATTATGTATAGATAGATTTTGTAATGAAGTTGATGCTAACAATGTGACCTTGACCTTGACAGAGGCGCTGCGAGGGATGGAAGCAGTAGCAGAACACATCAATGAAATGCAGAAGATCTATGAGGAATACGGATCTGTTTTTGACGACTTGTCTAAGACCTTCAAGGAAGTTCACCCGTCGAAGAAGGTGAAGGTCGTTGGCGGGGTAACTGACACATACGTGTTTGGTGTTGTCATCAGTCACTGTGTATAGTCAGTCCTGCTGTTATCATTGATATTTATGTGTATTGTCGTGAGATGTTGAACTTAAGTAGAGATATCTCTCTAGATGACCTCGGGCAGTCGGGTAGCCTAGTGGTTAAAGCGTTCGCGTGTCACGCCGAAGACCTGGGTTCAATTCCCGACATGGGTACGATGTGTGAAGCCCGTTTCTGGTGTCCCCCGCCGTGATATTGCTGGAATATTGCTAAAAGCGGCGTAAAACCATACCCTTTCACTCGCTCACTAGATGATCTCACCATCCCCTCCACCCCACAATGGACGTGTCTGGCAGTGACGAGGCAGCAGTGTTCAGGAGGTACTAAGATCTAAGAAGTGCTGCACAGTCTCTAGACATCATTTAAAATAAATAAGTGCCAGGCTGTTTGATCAAAGGTGCCACAATTCACTGTTGTATCCCATAACCATACCAGAATCACCACCCGTGAAGATCCGGGTTAGAATTGATCTTCAGCAACCAATGCTTGTCCCCTGTGAAGATCCGGGTTAGAATTGATCTTCAGCAACCAATGCTTGTCCCCTGTGAAGATCTGGGTCAGAATTGATCTTCAGCAACCAATGCTTGTTCCCTGTGAAGATCTGGGTTAGAATTGATCTTCAGCAACCAATGCTTGTCCCCTGTGAAGATCCGGGTTAGAATTGATCTTCAGCAACCAATGCTTGTCCCCTGTGAAGATCTGGGTCAGAATTGATCTTCCGCAACCAATGCTTGTTCCCTGTGAAGATCCGGGTTAGAATTGGTCGTCAGCAACCAATGCTTGTCCCCTGTGAAGATCTGGGTCAGAATTGGTCTTCAGCAACCAATGCTTGTCCCCTGTGAAGATCTGGGTCGAGTTGATCTTCAGCAACCAATGCTTGTCCCCTGTGAAGATCCGGGTTAGAATTGGTCTTCAGCAACCAATGCTTGTCCCCTGTGAAGATCCAGGTTAGAATTGATCTTCAGCAACCAATGCTTGTCCCCTGTGAAGATCTGGGTTAGAATTGATCTTCAGCAACCAATTCTTGTCCCCTGTGAAGATCCGGGTTAGAATTGATCTTCAGCAACCAATGCTTGTCCCCTGTGAAGATCTGGGTTAGAATTGATCTTCAGCAACCAATGCTTGTCCCCTGTGAAGATCCAGGTTAGAATTGGTCTTCAGCAACCAATGCTTGTCCCCTGTGAAGATCTGGGTCAGAATTGATCTTCAGCAACCAATGCTTGTCCCCTGTGAGATCCGGGTTAGAATTTATCTTCAGCAACCAATGCTTGTCCCCTGTGAAGATCTGGGTCAGAATTGGTCTTCAGCAACCCATGCTTGTCCCCTGTGAAGATCTGGGTCAGAATTGGTCTTCAGCAACACATGCTTGTCATTAAAGGCAACTATGCTTGTCTAAGAGTCGACTTACGGATCGGGGGGTCAGACTCGCTGACTTGGTTGATGCATGTCTTCTCATCCCACTTGTGTAGATTGATGCTCATGATGTCAATCACTTGAGTGTCTGGTCCTGACTCGATTATTAACAGACTGCCGTCATATAGCTGGAATATTGCTGAGTGCGGCGTTAAACAACAAACAACCAACAACCGGATTTCCAGTTAGAACTGCTCCTATCAACCTTTGCTAATATGTCTTCAGCAACTCATGCTTGCTGTAAAAGGTGCCTAATGGATCGGGTGGTCAGACTCACTGACTTGGTTGATGCATGTCATCCCACTTGCGTAGATCGATGGTCATGATGTGAATCACTTGAGTGTCTGGTCCTGACTCGATTATTAACAGACTACTGTCATAAAGCTGGAATATGCTGAGTGCGAAGTTAAACAACAAACAAACAAGATCCACACAAGATGGGTCCCATCTTCCTGAGGCGATGGAGTTAACTGACTCTGAAAGTCCAGTTTCCACCCTTGCTGAACTAAGCCGGAATTTCTGGGTTCGCTTGTAGCGCCACCAGTAGTATAATGAGTTATGCCCCTCCTATGTCCCTCCTATTGACCAATCAGATTCCCCCAGTGAAGACGGTCCCTCGATAATCAAGATATATATCATTATTAAACGAGCTTTACTTCGCGAAGTGCATCAAATCACGTAAGCACCTTGATTAAAAGCATGAAAAGATTTGGAAAACATCTGTTGACGCTAAGTTGACGGTACACATGCTTTGCAAATCCTGCAGTCGACAGAAATCTTCACAACAGTTTACGAACAGAATGTTGATTTCGTAAGGCGAGTTTGATTGGACTGTGCATAGACCTGTTAGTCCAAACAAAATATAACTCAATAATTGCAGCCTAGTTCAGGCAGCCTCGGAACTTTCATAGTCAGTTAACTCCCTTGCCTCAGGAAGATGGATGATTCCCATGTTTGCCCTGATTGTGATACTGCGCGTGAAGAATCAACTTGGAGGGGGGGGGGGGGGGGGGGGGGGGGGTAAACACTTTCAGCTTTCCTCTCACAGTTGGCACCCTGTAGAACTGAAATAGGGTTCAATGTATCATTGAACAAACATCACTGAAACATCAGAGATAGGGAATCATTGTACATAGTTGATCAATGTTGACAAAGAATGGTGTTCTTACTTTGAGAGAATTATGTCATTCCTGTATTGCTCTGAAAGTTGTTTTGTTGTGGCCTATTGTGATGTGCTAGTAGTACACCATCTCATTAAAGGCAGATCTTTTACTCAAATACAATCGCTCTCTGTGTGAGGATCGGACAAGCACTCCATAGGAGGTTGTATCAGTTGGACTTTCTAATCAGCTGATCAGTGTTGAGGCTTTAGATTCTGAGTATGCGTGAGGAAAGTGTTCAGAGCAGCCTATCTGATTTCTGTATCTCAGGAAGAAACTTATACAGACAGTTCTGAATGTAAATGATATTGGCTGTGCCTTTCTAATGGTAGTTATTTTATGCATTGTATGAGGAAAGCATCCTAAGCATTCTTTCTAATTTCTGTATCTCGGGAAGAAACTTATACAGACAGTTCTGAATGTAAATAATATTGGCTGTGCCTTTCTAATGGTAGTTATTTTATGCATTGTGTGAGGAAAGCATCCTAAGCATCCTTTCTAATTTCTGTATCTCGGGGAAGAAACTTATACAGACAGTTCTGAATGTAAATAATAAAGGCTGTGCCTTTCTAATGGTAGTTAATCATGCATTGTCTTTTCTGTGCACCATGGCATCTGCACCCAACATTGAGTACAATCAAAGGAATATTTGTGGCCTGTATATGAGTTCTTTTTGGAAATAGTAATCTTTAAATTGAAGTGGTAAGGTAGAAGCCGAATTGTTATTTAAAGCTGACAACTGATTGGCTGAAGAACCATGCTTCCATCATGTAGATTGGGTGGTCAGTGTTCGTTCAGGGGTCATCTGGCCGACCTTCTATGGTGGGGTTATCATGTCTTTGATTGTATCGGAGGAAAAGATCTGCTTTAATGAGATTGAAGTAGTACTAGTGTAACCCCTCTGTATCCGGAACTGATTTACCCATACACAAGTTTTATTGCCTGTTGCGATAGCATGGAGCCTAACTATACCAATACATGCCAGTGTATACTTTCGATGTGTGAAGAATGTTTGCTATTCAAATTTTCCATCATACTCAAGTAACCCCGCTGCATCTGGTAGGGCTGGCTAAAAAGATCAATAATTGGAATTATCGTTGATGGGAAAAAATATTAGTTATTAGCGAGATGAAATCAATTGTGATGAAATAATGTTTAAAGTTACTAAAACAGACTTGTTATTATGAATCATGTCCTACTATATGAGCTGTTTGTGCCCTACTATATGAGCTGTTTTTGCCCTACTATATCGAGCTGTTTGTGCCCTACTATATCGAGCTGTTTGTGCCCTACTATATGAGCTGTTTGTGCCCTACAATATGAGCTGTTTGTGCCCTACTATATGAGCTGTTTGTGCCCCACTATATCGAGCTGTTTGTGCCCTACTATATCGAGCTGTTTGTGCCCTACTATATCGAGCTGTTTGTGCCCTACTATATCAAGCTGTTTGTGCCCTACTATATCGAGCTGTTTGTGCCCCACTATATGAGCTGTTTTTGCCCTACTATATCAAGCTGTTTGTGCCCTACTATATCGAGCTGTTTGTGCCCTACTATATGAGCTGTTTGTGCCCTACTATATGAGCTGTTTGTGCCCCACTATATGAGCTGTTTGTGCCCCACTATATGAGCTGTTTGTGCCCTACTATATGAGCTGTTTGTGCCCTACTATATGAGCTGTTTGTGCCCTACTATATCAAGCTGTTTGTGCCCTACTATATCGAGCTGTTTGTGCCCTACTATATCGAGCTGTTTGTGCCCTACAATATGAGCTGTTTGTGCCCTACTATATGAGCTGTTTGTGCCCCACTATATCGAGCTGTTTGTGCCCTACTATATCGAGCTGTTTGTGCCCTACTATATCGAGCTGTTTGTGCCCTACTATATCAAGCTGTTTGTGCCCTACTATATCGAGCTGTTTGTGCCCCACTATATGAGCTGTTTTTGCCCTACTATATCAAGCTGTTTGTGCCCTACTATATGAGCTGTTTGTGCCCTACTATATGAGCTGTTTGTGCCCCACTATATGAGCTGTTTGTGCCCCACTATATGAGCTGTTTGTGCCCTACTATATGAGCTGTTTGTGCCCTACTATATGAGCTGTTTGTGCCCTACTATATCGAGCTGTTTGTGCCCTACTATATCGAGCTGTTTGTGCCCTACTATATCGAGCTGTTTGTGCCCTACTATATCAAGCTGTTTGTGCCCTACTATATGAGCTGTTTGTGCCCTACTATATCGAGCTGTTTGTGCCCTACTATATCGAGCTGTTTGTGCCCTACTATATCAAGCTGTTTGTGCCCTACTATATCGAGCTGTTTGTGCCCTACTATATCGAGCTGTTTTTGCCCTACTATATCGAGCTGTTTGTGCCCCACTATATGAGCTGTTTGTGCCCCACTATATGAGCTGTTTGTGCCCTACTATATGAGCTGTTTGTGCCCTACTATATGAGCTATTTGTGCCCCACTATATGAGCTGTTTGTGCCCCACTATATGAGCTGTTTGTGCCCTACTATATGAGCTGTTTGTGCCCTACTATATCGAGCTGTTTGTGCCCTACTATATGAGCTGTTTGTGCCCTACTATATCGAGCTGTTTTTGCCCTACTATATCGAGCTGTTTTTGCCCTACTATATGAGCTGTTTGTGCCCTACTATATCGAGCTGTTTTTGCCCTACTATATGAGCTGTTTTTGCCCTACTATATGAGCTGTTTGTGCCCTACTATATCAAGCTGTTTGTGCCCTAATATATGAGCTGTTTGTGCCCTACTATATCGAGCTGTTTTTGCCCTACTATATGAGCTGTTTGTGCCCTACTATATCGAGCTGTTTTTGCCCTACTATATCGAGCTGTTTGTGCCCCACTATATGAGCTGTTTGTGCCCCACTATATGAGCTGTTTGTGCCCTACTATATGAGCTGTTTGTGCCCTACTATATGAGCTGTTTGTGCCCCACTATATGAGCTGTTTGTGCCCCACTATATGAGCTGTTTGTGCCCTACTATATGAGCTGTTTGTGCCCTACTATATCGAGCTGTTTGTGCCCTACTATATGAGCTGTTTGTGCCCTACTATATCGAGCTGTTTTTGCCCTACTATATCGAGCTGTTTTTGCCCTACTATATGAGCTGTTTGTGCCCTACTATATCGAGCTGTTTTTGCCCTACTATATGAGCTGTTTTTGCCCTACTATATGAGCTGTTTGTGCCCTACTATATCAAGCTGTTTGTGCCCTACTATATGAGCTGTTTGTGCCCTACTATATCGAGCTGTTTTTGCCCTACTATATGAGCTGTTTGTGCCCTACTATATCGAGCTGTTTTTGCCCTACTATATGAGCTGTTTGTGCCCTACTATATCAAGCTGTTTGTGCCCTACTATATGAGCTGTTTGTGCCCTACTATATCGAGCTGTTTTTGCCCTACTATATCGAGCTGTTTTTGCCCTACTATATGAGCTGTTTGTGCCCTACTATATCGAGCTGTTTTTGCCCTACTATATGAGCTGTTTGTGCCCTACTATATGAGCTGTTTGTGGCCTACTATATGAGCTGTTTGTGCCCTACTATATCGAGCTGTTTGTGCCCTACTATATGAGCTGTTTGTGCCCTACTATATGAGCTGTTTGTGCCCTACTATATCGAGCTGTTTGTGCCCTACTATATGAGCTGTTTGTGCCCTACTATATGAGCTGTTTGTGCCCTACTATATCAAGCTGTTTGTAGCCTACTATATGAGCTGTTTGTGCCCTACTATATGAGCTGTTTGTGCCCTACTATATCGAGCTGTTTTTGCCCTACTATATGAGCTGTTTGTGCCCTACTATATCGAGCTGTTTGTGCCCTACTATATGAGCTGTTTGTGCCCTACTATATGAGCTGTTTTTGCCCTACTATATGAGCTGTTTGTGCCCTACTATATCGAGCTGTTTGTGCCCCACTATATGAGCTGTTTGTGCCCTACTATATGAGCTGTTTGTGCCCCAGGTGGTGGACCTGAGTGTTGGCGAGCTGCAGATGTATGGGATGGTGGAGTGGTGCAACATGACCGACTATCTTGGCAAGACAAAGAAGGCATCAGACTTCGAGAACACCGTCTTTGTCTTCCGGACTGGCGTTGTGTTCCTGTGCCGGGAGAGACTCAAGAGAAGGAAGACAAGGGTAAGAGTTGTCTCCCATGACAAAAATAAATCTGTCTTGAATGAACTATATAAAATTTGTATCTATAAATCAATGCCTATGCAGAACAAGCTCAGAGCCGTGCTCTAGAAAATGACCCAAATGTCATGTAGAACTATGTAGAGCAAAGCCATGTCAACTTCCTGCACCAAGGTCGCAGGGTAGAACAACAACAGCTCGGCAGCATTGAAGACAATAATGATGAATGATGTCACATATTATTGTTTCCACACAAACATTTTTGCTGTTCTGATACGTTTCCTAGGCAAATCTATTTTCAGTTCCTTTGCAGAAGTGCGTAGTCTTGAAGTGTGGTATTATGAAAACCTTGAATCATGGCGGCACTTCAGAACTTACATACTTTACTAAGACAGTGTTATCCCAAACATAACATTTGTTACATTTGACCACTTTCTAATTGGCATTGTGTATTCATAGCTTTCGGCCATGGGAGCCATGCCAATTTACACTTGTCAGAGGGGTACACAAAGTATGTGATCTGGACTACCAGTTGTCTGACTTTCAATTTTTGTGGAAGTCTCAGTGGCTGAGTGGGTTAGCTCACTGACTTTGTGTGCTGGCGATTAGGTGCCTCACTCTGGCTGTGTGGGTTCGAATTCCAGACAGAACGTATGAGAATCTGTACTTTACTAAGAAAGTGTTATCCCAAATATAACATTTGTTACATACTTCAGTGTCAAGTCATGATGACAATACATCTGATTACTAAAAATACTTGTTACTCTTGTTACTCTTTCTGGTAGGCGATTACGGTAAACAGCGGATTGACTGCATATTGCACATGCAACTAAGCTGACGTGTCAGCCAAACTGAAACCCGTTTCGTGCATTGTGGAGATAGATTGTGACAGTCGTGACTCCATGCCCATGCTCCAGGGGATAGTAACGATGTCTGTCCGTTCAATACTCAAAAGGGACAAATTTTCTTGTAAACTACTTAAGTCAGAGAAATGAAATTTTACACACCGATGTTACTGGTTATGATCTGAAAAGATTTGGAAAATTGCTGTTTTTTTAGAGAGTTATGGCCCTTGCTCTGTGCTTTTCAACCTGGTGCATCCTGCATGAAATAGGGACAGAAACTACTAAAATTATATGAATGAAAGTTTGCATGTGTATATGCGACTGCTTGTCAAAACTTGGTCCTGTAAAAAAGTGTTTACAGAGTTATGGCCCTTTATCTATGCTATGTTACATTGTGCATAGTGGGTGCAATGGGGACAAGATTTCTTTAGAAACTACTGACGTTGCATGAATGAAAGTTTGCATGCTTGTCAAGACTGAGTTTGAAAATTGGTCCTGTAAATTATTAGTTTTACAGTGGTACGTCCCTTGAACCATGTTATTTTACTTGGTGCATATTGTCAGCAATGGGGACAAGTTTTCACAGAAACTACTGAAGTTAGCAGCTTTTCTAAAAGATACTTATCCAGTTAAAAAAGTTATTTTATCCAGCCTTTTGTGTGTATTAATTTCACATTTAATCATTTTTTCTGATGACATAAAGCAGCCCTATCTCTTCTTTAAGGCTTTATAGGACTCTTTTTTTTTATTGTTTATACTTACTACTATATGAACAAACAAACTTCTAGTGTACCCCATGGTGGGGGATAGTGATAACTCTGTTCTTGTGTGCTTCTGTTAAATGTTGCAGACCAGATTCATGTCTTTTTTTACTGATATTTGTTTTGACAAAATGACCAGTGGTAAAATAAAAACTTACAAAATGTTAACCGACTTCTTCAGTCCCTCCCTCCCAAGATGTCACTTCTGGAGCATCATCATCAGATGGACATGCTGGAGCGCTTCCGCACACTCATCCCCACACAGGAAGTGCAGGTGCGTGTTGGGAAGGTCAGCGACATCGACCGCCACTACTGGTGGGACCTCATCCACTCCAGGTCCGACTCCGAGGGACGACCAGAGAGGCTGTACCAGTTCTGCAACAGGTGTGTTGTCATGACGCTTGAAAAAATCCAAGGGCAGATCCAGTATTTTTAAAAGGGAGAGGTCCATATATCAAAATCCTCTTGCAGTCAATTTTACTGCCTACAACATACTCATTTGGTTTTCAAGGGGGGTGGGGGGATGGGATTGGACCCTGGGGGGGTGGGGGGTAGGGGGGTGGGATTGGACCCTGGACCCTTCCTCTGGATCTACCTATGAAATCATATTAGATTCTTAAGTATGCCACTAAAATATCTGTGACCTGTGTGATCTCTTAGGTTTTTTCTCAGTTTTACCTTGTGTAGAAAATATTTTGTTATTGGTTGCTGTGCAGTGGTAATAATGTCAAGGTCACAGAGAATAGAGGGAGTTGGATTTTACGTCACTTCCAGTCGTACGGCGTGTCAGCTTAATGTCGGTGGAAAGCCAAAAGTGATGCAGGTCTAGGGTGGTTGAAACCCATGAATATAGGTGTGGTGCCGACAAACCTGGGAACATGATCGGGGCGAACCAGGATTCAAACCCACAATTATTGGTTTCTAGCATGCCCAAGGGATGCAACTCTGCACAGCGAATTGAGGCACCTTAGACGACTGGGCCAACTGTGCCCCTTCACATAGAATAGACCCACAGCTTGTATTACTGAATGAATAGTGAGGTATAAACAGTTAAACCTTGTTATCCCACCCCTGTTATCCCGACCTTGTTATCCCGACCCTGTCATCCCGACCCTGTCATCCTGACCCTGTTATCCCAACCTTGTTATCCCGACCCTGTCATCCCGACCTTGTTATCCCGACCTTGTTATCCCGACCCTGTCATCCCGACCTTGTTATCCCGACCTTGTTATCCCGACCCTGTCATCCCGACCCTGTTATCCCCGCCCTGTTATCCCAACCTTGTTATCCCGACCTTGTTATCATGACCTTGTTATCCCGACCCTGTCATCCCGACCCTGTCATCCCGACCTTGTTACCCCGACCCTGTTATCCTGACCCTGTTATCCCGACCCTGTCATCCCGACCTTGTCATCCTGACCCTGTTATCCAGACCCCGTCATCCAGACCTTGTTATCCCGACCTTGTCATCCCGACCCTGTTATCCCGACCTTGTTATCCTGACCCTGTCATCCCGACCCTGTCATCCCGACCTTGTTACCCCGACCCTGTTATCCTGACCCTGTTATCCCGACCTTGTTATCCTGACCCTGTTATCCCGACCTTGTTATCCCGACCCTGTCATCCCGACCCTGTCATCCCGACCTTGTTATCCCGACCCTGTTATCCCGACCTTGTTATCCTGACCTTGTTATCCTGACCTTGTTATCCCAACCTTGTTAACCCGACCCTGTCATCCCGACCCAGTTATCCCGACCCTGTGAGTCTGGAAACCTTCTGGCAACATAACTGTGTACCATAAGGGACATTGGGTAGGGTAGTGGTTGAAGCATTGGACCTTCACACTGAAGACCCGGGTTCGGTTCTCCACAATGTGTGAAGCCTATTTCTGGTGCCTCTCCACTATGATATTGCTGAAATATTGCAAAGAGCTGGTTAAACCATACTCACCCAATAACATCTTCAAAATACTTGAAAGATTCATCAGATATGCATTAATACATAGTTTTAATTTGGACAAACATTGACTGTTTTCAGTACGTCTGAGGCCAAGTCTGACTTCATGAAGGTGATCCGGCAGACAATACGAGAAAGTGTCCGGAGCATGACCGTGCCCACTAAGCCAATCCAGCTCAAACCACGCAGTTTGAGCCCGTGTTCTGCCGAAAAACTCGACCCGCTTCCGTTGTTGAACAAAAAAAGAGGTCAGGATCCTGAAAGACACTCCATGGATTTTGACGAAAAAATTAGTGCACTAGAATATGAAGCAGCTTTCAGAATACGCAGCAAAACTATAGGCGATATAAATCAAGCGAGTATGGACGACAACGCTGCTTACACTACTGTATCTGAGCCGCAGATAGCTCAAAATAAGAGTCCAACTTCTTCCAACTCTAATCTAAGTAGTTCTAGTCAGAGTGGGTCGGCTAAGTTGCTGTATGCCAGCGCGAATCCCCTGAACTATTCCTCAGGCTCTGTTAATTCTATTGGGTCACCGGTGTGGAAGCCTCGGTCTGAAAGTAGGCAGGGCACACAGAGTCCTCAAAATCAGAGCCCCAAACGCCCAGGCATATCTCAAGATGACAATACTTCAAGAAATAGTGCCATCAGTGATGCTAGCAACTCACCCAAGCGTAATAACACAAGCAGTGATTCGCCTAAGCGTAGAGATCAAAAGACTGTGGTGTTTGCAGCACCGTATGGAGTCCAGCCATATAAAGATACAGAATGTTAGTTCTAGATGTAGGTAGGAATACAAAGGTAAAATGGCCGCCACTGGTGGCAGACAGCCTGCTGGTGGACGAATTGCTGACGATTTGCTTACCGTTTCAGATGAGAGATGTGAGCAGATAAGCGAGGCAGAGCTCGCCCCCTCTTCTGAACAGGGGGCGACAGGCTCTAGCCCGCCGGGTGAGATAATAACATATCTCTGATGGTTGTGGGGCTTGGTTTGCAAAGCATGTGGTATATGGTTGTGAGGCGGGCACTCCCAGGATGTGGGAGGATGGCTCCAGGGGACAGCTTCTAGAGGTGATGAGAGGGAAAAATGGTGATGTTCGGGCAGTGTGTGCCTTGGAGGATGATTCGAAGCATTTGAGATTTGAGAAACAATGTGTCCTTTTGGGATGCATGGTAAATGCTTGATGCTCAGAGGGTGTACCCATGGCTAGGAGTAAGACTGATGGAGATGTGACTATAAACATGATTAAAAAATGTTATCTCCATCAGTCAGTGCTAAGATGGACAATGCATTTATTAGGTTATCATCCCAGATGTGTCATTATCCCTGTTATTCCACTCTGCTGGCCAGATAGTGACAGTTTGTAACGGATAATGAATGTTCTATCGATGTCTGACTGTACAGAAATATATACAGATTGTAATATATCACAACTGTTCTCTATTGCTGTTCCAAGTGTACAGTGTACCTCTCCGAATTGCTGTACAGTTAAATCTGTACACCCTGTACAGTGAATGTATTAGCACACAGGCACCGCATCGTAAAATAACCACATATACCCTCCACAAGATTACTACCTTTCACATATCTCAAGTGAAAATGAGTTTCTCAAGTTTTGGTTAGAATCTAGATTTTCTTAGATTTCTATCTGGTCTCTAGACTTGGGTGCATGCTTCTTGATAATTACATTTTGTTACCATGTCAGGACTTTCATCATGTGACCACATCATGTGTCTAGATCATGTGACCTCATCATGTGACTAGATCATGTGACCACATCATGTGACTAGATCATGTGACTTGATCACTGTGCATGCTTTATAGTAGGTGTATCAGGTAGCTATGTACACTTACCACCAGATGGCGCTCTCCCTTGATCTGTGTCCGTTACACCTGTCATAGACAATGGTTGTCGCAGGTACAATCGTTTCTACGTACATTGTTGACATACACATCAGGATAACCTGCTGATTATTTTGATGCTGATAGTTTACATTAGATTTTAACTGATCACTCATTGCCATTGTGTTTTTGTGAAGTAATTGTAATGAGAGAATAGTTCTGTTGAATAATGTGAAATATGCTGCAGCAAGAAATTTGTTTGTGAAAGTGTTATGTTCATTACATTCGTTGAACTTACAAATGACTCATTTTAAACATATATTAAACTTTTTAAAGTATCAAAAGAGGAGAGAAGATATCAATATACATAGTTTAAATATTAAAAGTTATTGGTCGAAAATATGAAGTTTCTTTGTCATATTGAGATGCAAACATTTAATTAGATCCTATTTTTTGGCATTATCAAAATCATTTTGGAAAAAGGACAACTTGTTTTACTGTTAAATAAGATGTCTAGTTAAGAAATCCATATTGCAAGAAGTTTGTTGATGTCATTTATGTTCATGCATTGGGATGCAGCGATGTACTCCTGCATCTTTTCGGTATGAAGACTTTGCAGTTTTTTAAATTCTGAAGTTTTAAGAGATTTAATGTAGTGCTATTGAGAACAGTCGTAATTGCCTGTACAAGTATTTCACCAGATACAGCACTGTGAGCACTTCATCTAGTCAAGCCATTAGTTTTATCTTCTGTATGAGAACAGACTGCTGACCTCAGCATGTTTTATGTAGTGTTGTTGGACTAGAAGGCCAAGGGGTGTGCAATATGTTCTCAGTCATATGTTTTATTTATTGTAACTTGTAGTTGAGAATAGTTCAAGGGGCCAAATATATCAACCAATCGCAAGCATGTATATATTCACTGTAACATAACCATATGTACATTCTGTAACACAGCCACTGATTGGATGGTTAAGCCAGAGCTGATGTTAGAGTAGCTTTCATTGGCTTAAACCAGATAGTCATGTTTGTGAAATGAGATTTGTTATTATGATACTAGATTTAACCTACTTCCATGTCCTTTCTGTCCACCATGTTTATGATTATTGAACTTCTGCATTTGACACTAATTATGTTGTAGTTTGATAGATGTTGTATGAGATATGATTTCAGACAATGGAGATCAAATCACACTTGTTTATCAATTAAGAGTTTATCATTGTCATACTTCATCCGTATCTACACCTGTTGCATACCCATCACCTTTCACGTGGTCTAGGATTCAATATTTCTATTCTCATCAAAGCAATCATGAAGGTGGAGAAAGCTGGCAGCTGGTTTCCATGCAGAACATCCGAGGTGATGACAATGTCAAGGTCACATCTGACAAAACCCTCTAAAATTCAGGTTGCTCTGCTATTTTATGTATAATGCTAATTTATGTGGGGCATATTTTGACAAGATTATTTTCAATGCTTTAAGTTATGTGACGAAGAACGAACAAAAAGCATTAGGCATTAACACTGGAAAATTGTACATGTTTATTTACATCCTTAAGCATTATGAAAATAACAAATTCAGACCAATATGTTCAGTAAATTGATCCTGATGATAATTTATAGATCAGCTGTTCGACAGAAAGCATGTGGATCAATATCCCTATGTTGTAGTTTTAATTTGACTTAAAAAATTTCATATTGTCAACGGTTATTGTGAAGATAACGTCATGAATCTGATGTCATTACTTTTGCCTTTCATTGTTTGCAACTGACTTCAGTCGGTATTTCTCTGGCCACCATCATATCCATGGGACATTTCTGACTGTGGTGTTAAACAACCCTTTTATGCCTTCTGCTTCATTATGTATAAAACCCAAAATGGGACTAAAATTGGTTTGGCTTTATAAGATTATTTTGGATTGGAAAAGCTACTGTCATAAGGGTATTCTCCAAACAGTCATGAATGCATCTTCTCGAGGTAAGGGAGTAACTAACTTTAAAAGTCCAGTTTCCACCCTTGCCGAACTAGACTGGAACTTCTGGGCTCAATCGTAGCTCCACCAGTGGCTGTTACGAGTTGTGTCCCTTCTATGCCTCTCCTATTGACCAATCAGATTCCACCTATTGTATCACTTGCATTTGCTTCAAACAAAATGGCGGCGTTCAGTCAATACGATCTGATCAATAATAAAGATCTATCTTGTGATAAAACGGATCTGTCATCGAAAAGTGCACCAAATCACGTGAGCACCTTGATTAAAAATATGAAAAGATTTGGAAAATATCTGCTGACGCCGAGTTGGCGGTGCACACATCCCTTGCAAATCCTGCAATTGACCGAAATATGCACGACAGTTTACAAACCGGATTTCGATTTGATAACGCGATATTGATTGGACTATGCATAGACTCGTTAGTCCAGCCAAAATCTAACTCCATAATACCAGCCTAGTTCGGCAAGGGTGGAAACTAGACTTTTAAAGTCAGTTTACTTACTTTCCTCAGGAAGATGTCATGAATGAAACTCTGTATGTTTTGTATTAAATGCTAAAGCAGTCATGAGATTGTTACCTGGTTTGTAATTTTCACGTTACACATCAGGATTTCTTTCTTCAATCTCTAACAATGTTAAACTACCCTGACATTGTGTCATCAGTTCTTCATTGATAAGGGTGGGTGGGATCACCTAGTGGTTAAACGTTTTTCTGGTCACTGCCTGGGTTTGATTGTCCACAAGGACACAATGTGTGAAGCCCATTTCGGGTGTCCTCTGATGTGACTGCTTACAACTGGCGCAATTACACAGGAGAGAAAAAACTATACTGAAATAGGCTAGACTTGTCAGAGTTGTCTGCCCTGCCTGTCTGAACATTCAAATTAGATCAGCAAAATTCTGCATCCTGGGTTAGCATGCCTGAAATAGATAGTGGAGTTTTACCAGCTTGGCACATTATTGTATGGAGTTATTGATCTAAGAATTATTCTTTAAATTCTCTCCTTATTACGACTGCTGCCAGATCTTGATACAAATGTAGCTCTGTTTTGAGCTTTATTCGAAGCTGCCGCTGGTGTTAATGTTTTAGCATTTCAAGTTTACACCAGTGATGTATTCTTCTATTGACAATTTTTATTTCTGTTGGAGTCATGAAATGTCGACCATTATGTAAATTTTACATTGAATCTGCATTTAAAAATTTAAAATTCATGTGTTTTGTGTGTGTTATTTAATGTATTTCATGCAATTTAATCCTAACAGTAACACTATTCTAAAATGCTATGGATGTCATGACTACCCTGGTCAACAAACAAATAATACTTTCATGCAAACTGTTTTCACTTTTCTGAAACCACTATTATCGTTCTGTAATGTTTGAATTAGTTGTATGGTAGCTAGCATCTGTGATCGCGCCATGCACTGTCCACATATCATGTGATAACTCTCCTGACTTGGAGGCCCAGGTTCTACCTCTTCTGTCTTGAGTTGTATCCCCTTAGGTTGCAGGAAACCGTTGATATCTTCAATGATGCACGTCTGTTGCCAATAATTGTCCATGCTAATTAAAACATCTTATTCATTCACTTTTTGGTAATCAAAACTGTAGGTTAGACGATTTTATTGTTTCACTTTCATGTACCATATTTAACAAAAATAAGAATGCAATTTTCTTCTGTACACTCTTCACATTTTCATTGAAATTATGGGAATTTGTTATGGAAGTCAAACACTGGTCAGCCTTATTAAGCTGGCCTAGGAATTGAGTCAGGAGTAAAGCACGGACTGGTTTCCTACCACCAATGTAAGTTGTCTCGGGACAAGTGACTTCTACATAACTAACTGCATCCTCATATTGTCTCTCAGTGATGATGTCATCACCACGACACGACGGGATGACGTCATCACCTGTTTCTACACCCCATGCAAGAAACATGAAATCATCGACATCAGTACATCATTATTCATGCTGTTCTCCACTTGCGTTTTACTGTCCAGATTTCACAGGGTACGGTTTATCCAGGTTGTGGCAGACATTCAGTCTGGAATCGAGAATATACTGAACAATATAAGGGAACATATAGAAATATCGCAGGGGACAGTTGAATTACAATCAATGAAAATGTCTCGTACGTAAAGTCAGGCTCTAAGCGAGTGATAGAATCTTGTGTGCCACTAGATTAACGAACTACTTGTGATAATCTGCCGGTATCCCCAATAATCCAGTTCATTATGATAAATTCTCTCGACCCATTCTCCACGACAGCTATTAATAGCCGTCCAATCAAATTACTCCCATGCGCAACAGAAATTCTGAGCGAACTTACCGATTAAGCGATTAAGATGGTGACCACACTTCCGAAATGGAGCTATGATAGGAATGGGTCCAGGGTATTTATCAAAATAAAATGAAGATCTAATACCCTGGATTACCGAGGAGTTTGTTCAAGGAACCTGACATAAACACC